ATAAATAAATAAAGAGAATATGTAATGATAATGATGTACATTGCTACTGTTTTATTTTGTACCACATTACACTAAAACATACTCTTCACTATTTGTTTCAAATTTTGTTTTTTAATTTCTTAGCCTGTTTAAAAATATTTAAATATTTCCTTTTATTTATCCCAAATGTTTAGCACATTCTCACTGAAAATACACAAATTTGGCACATGCAACAATTTTAAGAAGAATTGTCTGAATGGTAATTTTGTTTACAAATGGAATCCATTAATGCATCTTTGATATTTGTAATGACATTTTTGTAGTGTTTGCCTTGTTTGTGTATACTATCAGCACAGTGAGAAAAAAAATCAACTGGATCTGATTATTTTTCAAAGAAGACATGTATGATAACATGCAAGCTATCATCAGCAGTTTGATTCGGCTCTGAAGACTGCTTTAGTTCTGTTGGTTTGTTTTTCTGGTTGCATAGCTGGGCTTTGTTTAGATGTAGTACTGGGACATCCTTTTTTATCAGTACTTTCGTTCTGTTTTACATAACAAAATATTTAATTATATATTTACCTCCGCCAATGGCAAGGAGGTAATGTTTTCAGTCGTGTATGTCGGTCTGTCTGACGGTCGATCGGTCTGTCTGTGGACAGCATTACTCAAAAACGTGTGGACAGATTGTCATGACATTTACAACACATGTGGAGTAGCACAAGTAACACACCATTAAATTTTGGTGATGTTTTGGATCACGATGCGGATACAGGACCTTTTTTTCCTTTTAATCCTCTGAGATCGGCTAAACTGTGATGCTTTCACAGGGCTTCTGTAAAAAAACAGTGACAGCTTTCAGTGTTCATTTGAATTGGATTAAACTACACGGACTTCAAGCTTTATAGAAGTAATGTTAAAACCAGATGTAATGATGAATAATTCTTGCCATAATGTGCACATTTGTATGCATTTGGTGCACATATCTGCGTGACTGCACCATGAAACATATTTTTCCCATTTCCTCAAACACACCACATTGTCCTGTAAACAGATCGAGGAAGAGGAGTCACTCACAGGCCCCGCCGGCACCCACCGTGCCAGAGCAGAACCAGGCAAGGACACAGAGGCCCGGGCCCCCGAGACACACACCCCCATCCTTAGATGTGCTGTTGATGCATGTTGTTCTATAATGCAATTAAAACAGGGAAGAAGAAGGGGCAGAGGCTGGCACAGTGCCAGTTTCCCCTACACCCCAACTCTAACCCTAACCCTAAATGTCTAAAAGCAAACACTGGGAGTGGGCACAGGCATCAGTGGCGAGAGTATTCCATCCCGCCCCTTGCATGCCATATGTGCCCACCCCCAAGTTCCTATATGTAAATGTTATGAGGATGTTATGAGTGAATGTCTAGGGTGTACAGTAAAATTGGAGCCCAGGTGGTTATAGCAAACAGGGATGTAAAATTGTTGCTCTTTGTAACACACCTGCACCCCAAAAACCCTACATGAGTGCAGTTGAGAATGAAGAGGGTGGAGGTGTGTGATGGGGGATGGGGAGAATAAATGACTGAGGGAGCAAAATGCTCCCACAGGGGTTAAGCTCCCCCGCTGTCCCCGGTAGGCTCCCCAGCTTCCCGAGACCCACCCAGGGAATGAGGCCCCAATACCTCTTCCTCCGGACAGACCGCCAGGCCCAGAAAGCCCCGGACCATAGACAGACAGAGCCCAGAGGACCGCCAGAAACCGGGACCAACAGTTCACCCGCCCCAGAGTCGTCCAGACCTCCAAGACCCAACCCCCAGCCCCACAGCCAGCCCGCAATACAAAGAAGCTACCTAACCCCAGCAAGGACGATTCAGCCGAGAAGCGCCAGTGGTTCTGAAGATTAAATCCGCGCTCTGCCACGACTCTGTTGGAATAACAAGCGCCACTTCAGCCAAAGTTTTAAAATCAGAAAACGTTTCTCCAATCAAAGTGATCAGAAGTCAGCAAGATTTTATTTCCAAATCCCACAAGCTGTCACTGTAGCAAGAGTAAATCCAGCAGCGCGCTCGCCCTGCKCCACTGGTTGCTGCCCCTCACAGATGTGCTCCAAAGCTTCCTGTCACTCTTCAATGCACTGTCAACTCCTGGAGATGCATTCAGTATGGTGTCTAGATCTGAGATGATGATCAGAGGGGAATCTTTTATTTATTTTAGATTAAATAAGACCTCCTTTATGTAGACCTGCTCTGTGCTTAAAGCTGAAAATGTCTGTGTGTGTGTGATGCCACAGAGCAGTCTCGTGAAGCCTCATTGCTACAGCCTGGATCTCAGTGCAGCAGATCGAATTATTTTCCCAATCAAAGGACAGTGAGCGGACCACTTCAGCTCTGCGTCCCGGAGGAGGATCTGCACTCACTGCGCCTAAATTCATATTAACAGGTGCATTGATAAGTGCCTTCCAACCTAGGAGGTAGAACACCTAAATGTTTAATCTGGATTTTATTTATTTTCAGCTGGATAGCTTTAGTAAAACTACCCCGTTGTCAGGGAAACCGTAAACATCTAGGAATCGTGGGTGGAAAGGCTTCGAGACTGTCACCAAGCTGCGGCACCGATCGGAGAACAAGCAACACTGCACTGTGTTTGCATTTCAGGTCAARCTGGAAATAAAGCTCAATTATGTCASGTATTTCCATTTCAGTAAACACACAGCTTGTCCAAAATGCTCTGAACGATCCTGTGCGGTATCTTGTGCGCACGACTTACTAACTGGTGCACACGAGATACTAACTGGTGCGGACGACTTACTAACTGGTGGGAACAACTTACTAACTGATGGGAATGAGATACTAACTGGTGCGCACGACTTACAAACTGGTGGGAACAACTTATTAACTGGTGGGAACGAGATACTAACTGGTGCGCACAAGATAGTTTTTTTTTTTTTCATCCAGTGTCCCTTTAGGGGCTCAGTATATTGTGGCTCCATTCCTGGCATATCCACTAAGATAAAAAAAAACAAAAAACAAAGTATAAAAGTTCTCTCTGGATTTGGATGTCTTTTCTTTGTGATTATATCACACTAAGACCTACAATATGAAATGGTACACAAGCCCAATTAAAATAGCATYGCATATAGCATAAATGTCCTGCTTATGCAAAATAGTTTAAACACCAGCATGCATTATGCCTACTTCAGTAGTAAATATAGGAAAAATTCAGCCAGAAGTTCATTGTGGCCAACAGGTTAATTAGCAAAACATTGAAAAAAATGTTTGTTTTTTTTTCAACATTAACTTTTTAACTTATTCCTTGTTCTAAAACAAAACTTCTACCAGACTAATAGGTTGAAYCCTGTACTTATCCTAAAAGGTGTAAAAAGTAAATTAACAGCTTTTTTCATACCCTTTTACACACAAACACATATTTTAGAACCATATGTTTTTAGGATGAGCAGGGTTATTGCCTATTTTTCCTCACTACCTTACTTACACTGTTAATTCTAATGATTAACTGTACAATATGTTCTAGGATGGGGCTCCATGTGCCAGTGTAACACAATTAAAATCATTTGTTAACTAAATTGGGTGGTAGAATCTTTTAGTTTATTAAATAGAATTTATTCAATTTTACACTTACATTTCCTACTGACTCAGAGCTGTAAATTACAATAACATAATTAAAATTATTTTAAAATTTGCTTTGTATGCTGAAAATACTTTGCCAGTGCAAGCACAAACGCATCACCTTTCTAGTTGTTTTCTTCAGTGTGGAAAAAATGACCTATGTGGCCAATATAGCCACTTCATTGACTTTAAACAATAAAACTACCCCCAACCCCCAGGACCTGAAAATATTTTAAGACAGCTGAGAGCCACCAACGGTTTTAGAGTTGTTTTAGTTTTTACACAAAATATTGCTGAAATTGAGCACAACTCCTGTGACATCTGTTACATGAAGAGGAACAGTTCTGATTCAGATGTACAGGTGTATCTGAATTGCAATAAACAACATATTTACTACTTGAACTCATCAAGTGATCAGTTAGAGTGATAGCGCTCTCACGTGGTGTACATAGAAAATCCAGACAACCAAACCCTGGAGCTAATGGAAGCAGAGTAATCTTGTGCATTATGCATTTATGATGGGTAATAAGATGAACTGGGAAGGAAAAAAAAAACATTGCAAGCTGCTGGGTATATATGGAATGTTGATAGATTAAAAAAAAAGAAAAAAACTCCAAAGGACGTCACTCAGAAAAATGCATATGGATTTCTGCTAAATAAACAAAGATGCAATTTTATTCTGAAAGCTTCCATGACCCTTGGCTTCAGAATGATTTAACTTATGCATAGATAAAAAGATAAATGTTTGTGCATAATTTATCATGCTTGTTATTTTTAAAGTCAATATTGCTTATAACTTTCTTTTTATTAGAAATTTATGAGGAATTATACATTTCATGTCCCAAGAGCCAGCTTTGGTAAGATAGGGTAAAAGCATCAAGGCCCATACCTTTGCATCCAGCCTGAATAACCCCTCCTGCAGAACATGGGCTTAAGAGTCATGCTGCTGGATGATACGGTTCAACATTCGGCACTTTTTCTTCATTTGGTGTAGTTCATTTTTGCTTTGTCACAAATAAAACTAAATAAGATTTTGTGTGTTTAATATTATGATCTCACGACTTTCTGATCAATCCAAACACAACCTGGACCGGAGTAGAGTAAGGCTGGGTCGTCTGGAAATGGGGCAGGCCGAAGCAGGCTTTACAATGCAAAAGCCCTTATAGAGGCTATCACCAGGCCTGGCTCCAAGGTGGAGCTCAAAAACACACATCGAGATGAGGGACCACAAGCTCTTTGTTGTCTTTTTGACAGATGGGTCGGCATGGCTTCCGCAGTGTAGCATATTTTGTACCAGTCTGTTGTAGTGAAGACAGAACTGAGCTGCAAACTGAAGCTCTCTGATTACCTCTTTGTCTACCTTCCTACCCCAACCAAACTATTTTTAATGACCAAAGGAACAAGATCATGGATACAGGCCGTCAACCCCCCCCCCCCCCCCCCCCSCTGGGACTCTTTTTTTAGAGATAGGGTGAGAATATCATTTGTAAGAGACTTGGAGTAGAGCCACTACGTCTCTAGAGAAAACAGTTGAGGTAGTTCAGGCATTTGGTAAGGATGCCTCCTAGCTGTTTCCCTAAGGAGGTGGGKTTTTTTTTGCTTGTCCAATTGGAAGGAGACTCTAAGGAAGACCCATGACATGCTTGAGACTAGTTGTAGACTGGTCTGGGGACTTCTTGGAGTCATGCCAAAAAGCTGGAAGAGCTAGATGTGGAAAGAGTTGTCTGGGCCTCCCTGCTCATCCGCACCAACTCCAAAACAAGCAGAAGATGATGGATGGATGGATACTTTTTTTTACTTCTGACTTTTGATTGTGGCAGGAGACAATGTAATTGTCTGAGTTTATGTGTGTTTGTTTGTCTATAGGCAAAATATCCCATGAACCTCTGGATTTTTAATATAAATTATCTCAAAATACATATTTATACAACAGATTAACTTTTGGAGTCAACTTGGAAAATAGAGAAAATTACAAACGTGGCTATAATAAGTCAGTTAATTATTCTTATATACTCACCGGCCACTTTATTAGGTACACCACGCTAGTAACGGGTTGGACCCCCTTTTGCCTTCAGAACTGCCTCAATTCTTCGTGGCATAGATTCAACAAGGTGCTGGAAGCATTCCTCAGAGATTTTGGTCCATATTCAYATGATGGCATCACACAGTTGCCGCAGATTTGTCGGCTGCACATCCATGATGCGAATCTCCCGTTCCACCACATCCCAAAGATGCTCTATTGGATTGAGATCTGGTGACTGTGGAGGCCATTTGAGTACAGTGAACTCATTGTCATGTTCAAGAAACCAGTCTGAGATGATTCCAGCTTTATGACATGGCGCATTATCCTGCTGAAAGTAGCCATCAGATGTTGGGTACATTGTGGTCATAAAGGGATGGACATGGTCAGCAACAATACTCAGGGAGGCTGTGGCGTTGCAACAATGCTCAATTGGTACCAAGGGGCCCAAAGAGTGCCAAGAAAAGATTCCCCACACCATGAYACCACCACCACCAGCCTGAACCGTTGATACAAGGCAGGATGGATCCATGCTTTCATGTTGTTGAYGCCAAATTCTGACCCTACCATCCGAATGTCGCAGCAGAAATCAAGACTCATCAGACCAGGCAACGTTTTTCCAATCTTCTCTTGTCCAACTTCGATGAGCTTGTGCAAATTGTAGCCTCAGTTTCCTGTTCTTAGCTGAAAGGAGTGGCACCCGGTGTGGTCTTCTGCTGCTGAAGCCCATCTGCCTCAAAGTTCGACGTACTGTGCATTCAGAGATGCTCTTCTGCCTACCTTGGTTGTAACGGGTGGTTATTTGAGTCACTGTTGCCTTTCTATCAGCTCGAACCAGTCTGCCCATTCTCCTCTGACCTCTGGCATCAACAAGGCATTTCCGCCCACAGGACTGCCGCTCACTGGATGTTTTTTCTTTTTCGGACCATTCTCTGTAAACCCTAGAGATGGTTGTGCGTGAAAATCCCAGTAGATCAGCAGTTTCTGAAATACTCAGACCAGCCCTTCTGGCACCAACAACCATGCCACRTACAAAGGCACTCAAATCACCTTTCTTCCCCATACTGATGCTCGGTTTGAACTGCAGGAGATTGTCTTGACCATGTCTACATGGCTAAATGCACTGAGTTGCCGCCATGTGATTGGCTGATTAGAAATTAAGTGTTAACGAGCAGTTGGACAGGTGTACCTAATAAAGTGGCCGGTGAGTGTACATGTCATCTTGTATTGATTGCCCATAAATTACATGGACTTTAATACATTTTTCTGGTTTACGGATGTATAGAGAAATCTCACAAATTTGATCAAATCTCAAGATTTTTTTTTCAAAAACTCAGCTTCAAATTTATTTTATGTCTCAAAGCCTGTAGGATACGAAAAAACAAAACGATAAACAATAAATATAATTAAATAACCCCCTTCCAGCCTACTCTGCTGCAACAACAGTGCTATGCCACAAAGTCAATGTTTTTCTTGAGTTGAGATCAACTGTATCCTTGCCTGTTCTTTTCAGCAAGGAGGAGGTGGGCGGTGTTGTAGCTTACTGGTACATCCCCCTGCTCATAGCATGTGAGAGTAATACGGCTTTTATGTGAAAATTATGGATTTTTGAAGGTCAATGTACAGGTAACTGTTCAAAGGGGTTGGCATGTATATGTATTMTGTATTATTTTGTATGTTATTTGAAATTAATAACATCAGTATGTGTTATAAGGAATGCTTGTTTCATTTTTAATGGTTTTAGGGTTAACTGTGTTAAATCCCTGCCTCCTACTAAAGATAAGCCTTTCATCAGCAGAATTATTGTTTTACTGAAAATATTGTTTAAATATCTAGAAAAAATCGTTTCACCCTCTTGAATCCTGTATGTGTTCTGTTTATTTATTTCATTAATTTTAATTTAATGCCAGCTTTTCCCATTTTTTAAAATCAATCTCTTTAGCTTCATTTTCTGAAAACACTATGCTTGATGTGTTTTCATAGTCTTTCTAAAGTAACACTTACTGCACTGTGGATCTGAGAATGTAAAACAAAAACCATATTCTTCTTCCCTTTTTTTCAATTTTAGGAGATTTTTAATTCGTATTGAGCTTCACCACAATTTTAATTTCATCCTGCTTGTCTGCAGTGAGCGACAACACCAAGTTGGCCTTGATGAACAAGTACAAGGACAACATCATCGCCACGAGCCCCATCGACAGCAACCACCAGCAGAACACCCTGCTTCCGCACAACACCTCCACCAGCCAACGCAAACGCCTCTCCAGCAACACCCGTGGTGAGTCACTCTCTTCCAGGAATTTGAGTTTAAACAGAAGAAAATAAATCAAACACAGATACACTTTTACATATTTATATGCACAAGCCGTTTTGGCGTCAGATAAAAGCCTGGCAATCTATAGTCAAGATTTCAAATTCAATTATTCTGGGCCTCTTTTAAAAAAATGCCACTTATGACATTTACTTTTTTATCATGACAGCAATAAACAGATTGACAATARGCCAGTGTAGTCAAAATGACATCTTGACTACACCTTTTCAGAAAATATAGGACAAACACAAGTATCTTTTGACAGCTCATAACATGTTGACACATCTGAAGTCAGTCTGCCTAAAACACGTGACATCTGCTAACAAGTGACACATGATTTTACTAGAACCTTGCAGTATCCATAATGTTATGTTATTCAGCCTTTACATGTTTCTTGTCTTCTTTTTAGGTTTTACATAATGCTAAACAAACTACGATGAAGGCTTTCTTTCACTATATCGCCCTTCAACAAACTAGCATTTGAGTGCTTTCAAGTCAAAAAAATGTTTTTCAAAACCATTTTCACTTTATAGAATGAGGTCAAAACACCAATAATTGTTGGATTAAAACCAAAAAATAAAAAATAAAAAAATAAACAACATTTGGCTTATTTGTCTTTGCAAGGTCTGACTTAAATTTAATGTTAAATAATTG